GGGGGCAGCGGGCTCAGCAGGCCGTGCTGGCGCGGCGGGAGCAGCACCCCCGAGACGGCATGCGGCGCGCGTGGCAGCGGGGCGAGAGTGCAGGGTGTCTCCGAAGGGCTGAGGCGACCCGTCCTCCTCCTCGCTCCTCCTCGCTCCTCCTCCTCCTCCTCCTCCTCCTCCTCCTCCTCCTCCTCCTCCTCCTCCTCCTCCTCCTCCTCCTCCTCCCTCCTCCTCCTCATCCTCCTCCTCCTCCTCCTCCTCCTCCTCCTCCTCTCCTCCTCCTCCTCCTCCTCCTCCTCCTCCTCCTCCTCCTCCTCCTCCTCCTCCTCCTCCTCCTCCTCTCCTCCTCCTCCTCCTCCTCCTCCCCCTCCACCTCCTCCTCCTCCTCCTCCTCCTCCTCCTTCTCCTCCTCCTCCTCCTCCTCCTCCTCCTCCTCCTCCTCCTCCTCCCCCTCGGGTCGCCTACGGTCCTGGGGGAAACCGTGCAGGCGAGAGCCAGAACAGCTCCGACAATCGGGAGAACCCGAGCCCTGGCGAGCCAGAGGGAAGCGAAGAGAAGGCGGGGAGAGCCAGCGGGGGAGAAGATGCGAGGGGCGACGGTGGCCAGGAGTGTCTGAGAAGTGCCTCTGCCATTCTGGGACCTCCGGTCGAAGAGAAGAGAGCACATGGCGCGGATGCCAGAGCCCCAAGCCGAAGTGGACTTTTTATACTCAGCGGGCGCAGGCTAGCCGAAGCAGGTGCAGGGGCCAGTCGGGTAGCCGAAGCAGACAGGGGCGGGCGGCGGGAGTTATCCGCGGCGTCGTCGGGTCCTTCGGCCACTGTGGGCCACCTTGGGCCAGGGCCACCTCGGAGAGAACACCCGTAAACAGCAACTCACAGGTGCTTCTGGTCGAGCGCACTTTAGAGCGCCCCATCCCTCGCAAAGCGGACGTAATGCAACTCCCCAACGTGGCGCTATTGGACGCTGTTGGTCGCCGTCGGGCGCCGTTTGAGCGCTGGTCGTCGCTTCTGGGCGCTGTTGGACCCCGTTTGGCGCTATTGGACGCTACTGGGCGCTCCTCGCCGATACACGTTCAGTGCAAAACGAGCGGACGCTTCCCCGATTTACCATCGAACAGATCCGAATCGAAGAAGCCACGCGGCGTCGACGACCAGCCTGGGCTCCGCGCAGCGCAGGCCAGGCGCGGCGGGCGGCAGGTGTCCTCCTTGGCGGCGGCGGATCCGCCGTGGCGGCGCTTCGCGGCCAACCACACGCTGGATGAGGCCTGCGGGGCATCGTCGCCGTCGTCGCCGGAGCCGCTGGAGTTCCCGCAGCTCGAAGCTCAAAGACGTCAGAGTTTCAGCCCCGGGGCCGTCAGAAGACTATGTATCTAGGACGAGACGCCGCCCGAACGGACCCCGGGATGGGTGTGCGAACCGATGTTGAGCAGATTTCGTGGTCCGTCATTGTTGCCTCCGTCGTCGCCGCCGCCGCCGTCGTCCGGCGTCGTCGTCAGCCGTCCTCAGCGTTGTCGGTCAGCGTCGCCATCGGTCGGCGTCGCCGGTCCTCGTCGTCGATCATCGCCGTCATCGTCGGTCCTTGTTGTCGTTTTCGTCCTCGTCGTCTTGGGTCGGCGTTCGTCGGTCATCGGTCGTTGGTCGTCGGTCGTCGGTTGTCGGCAGTCGGTCGTCGATCGTCGGTCGTCGGTCGTCGGTCGTCCGCCGTCGCCGTCGCCGTCTCCGCCGCCGCCGCCGTCGTCCGCCGTCGTCGTCGTAGTCGTTGTCGTCCTCGTCGTCGGTCGTCGGTCGTCGTCGACGATCGTCGGTCGTCGGTCGTCGGCCGTCGCCGTCGCCGTCGCCGTCGCCGTCGCCGCCGCCGCCGCCGCAGTCGCCATCGCCATCGCCGCCGCCGCCGCCGCCACTGCCGCCGCCGTCGTGGTCGTCGTCGTCGTCGTCGTCGGCGGCGGCGGCGGCGGCGGTGTCGGCGTTGGCGTCGGCGTCGGCGTCGGCGTCGGCGTCGTCGCTGTTGAGGTGGTCATCAGGCGTTGCTGCGAGGGCGCGAGGTGGCGGCAGCCTCGCGGTCGCTGGAGTCCCCGCTCTCGGGAGGCTCCAGCACGCCGTCCGCCTCGACACCCACCATGGAGAGCACCGCCTCGATGGCGTCCTCGGGACCCGCGTGTGGGGCTGCGGCAAGAAAGACGCAGACTGCGGCAAAGATGGCCACGAGCGGCACTCGCCTCTCTGAGGATGAAGGCCGTTTACTGCTCCAGACTTCACCCCAGAGCGCCCACTCGGAAACGACGAGGCCCGACTCGATAAACATACTAAACATATGATGGCAACGATTACCGTTGCCTTACCTCCTCCTCCTCCTCCTCATCATTATCATCCTCATCCTCATCCTCATCCTCATCCTCATCCTCATCATCATCCTCATCCTCATCCTCATCCTCATCCTCATCCTCATCCTCATCCTCATCCTCATCCTCATCCTCATCCTCATCCTCATCATCATCATCATCATCATCATCATCATCATCATCATCATCGTCATCATCAACATCAGCATCATCATCAGCATCAGCATTATCATCATCATCATCATCATCATCATCATCATCATCATCATCATCATCATCATCGTCATCATCAGCATTGTCAGTATCATGATCATGATCATCATCATTATCATTATCATAATCATAATCATCAGTATCATTAGCATAATCACCATCAGCGACATCATCATCATCAGCATCATTAGCATCATCAGCATCAACAACATCAGCATCATCAGCATCACCACATCATCACCATCATCAGCATCATCAGCATCATCAACATCAACAACATCAGCATCATCAGCATCACCACATCATCATAACCATCACCATCAAAAGCATCATCATCAACATCATCATCGTCTTCATCTTCATCAGCATCATCATCGTCTGCATCATCATCATCATCACCATCATCATCATCATCATCATCATCATCAACAACATAATCATCATCGTAAGCATAATCATAACCATCATCACAATCATAATCATCGTCATCGTCATCGTTATCGTCGTCGTCATCGTCCTCATCATTCGCTTCACCACAACCATCATCATAACCACCATAAGCAACATCATAATCATTTTCATAATCATGATCATCATCACCATAATCACCATCAGCGACATCATCATCATCAGCATCATCATCAACATCATCATCGTCAGCAGCAGCATCATCATCAGCATAATCAGCGTCATCATCATCATACTCATCATCGTGAGCAGCAGCAGCAGCTTCATCATCTTCATCACCACCACCACCACCATCATCATCAGTATCATCAGCATCGTCATCATCATCAGTATCAGCAGCAGCATCAGTATCATCACCATCATCATCAGCAGCATAATCAGCATCATCATCAGCATCATCATCCCCATTCTCATTATAATCAGCAGCAGCATCAGCATCAGCATCAGCATCAGTATCAGTATCAGTATCATCATAATCATCATCATCATCATCGTCATCATCATCATCATCATCATCCTCATCATCATCATCATCCTCATCATCATCATCATCATCATCATCATCATCATCATCATCATCATCATCACCCTCACCCTCACCCTCATGCTCATCCTCATCCTCATCCTTCTCGTCGTCCGCCTCCTTATTTAGCCTGCGGTGGGTCCCCTCGTCAGAGCGGCTGACCACATCTCGGAAAACAGGTGCGGATGGAACCTGCAAAGGGTTCGGGGGCCGACTCTGCACGGACCTGTGGCCGGCGCGCGCAAGAGGGCAGGCCGAGGGAGGCAGCCGTCGATGAGGGCACCCGCCTCCTTGGAAGCTCTCCTGCCTTCTAGGGAGACTTCTCGGAGACCGAACCTCCGAGAAGGGACCGATTTCTCAGGTCCCCACCTGCCCACCTCCGCGCGCCGCCGAATCCAGACCCTTCATGTAGCCATGCAGGGCGACTACCTGACTGAGGGGAGAAGCGAGAAGGAAAGAAAGGATGCCGACGAGGACGGGGATGCCGACAAGGACGCGTGCAGACGAGAAGGGGGGGAGATGCACAGGGGAAGGTCTGGAGAGCGACATGGGGCGCAGCCACAGTGGGCATCAGAGGGGGGCAGCTGGCTGGAATCGCCACATGTGGCCTAAAAGACGATCAGGGCCACGGGCCAGGGCGGGGGGGGAGTTCCTCCTCCTCCTACTACTACTCCTCCTTCTCCTCCTCCTCCTCCTCCTCCTCCTCCTCCTCCTCCTCCTCCTCCTCCTCCTAATCCTCCTCCTCCTCCTCCTCTTCCTCCTCCTCCTCCTCCTCCTCCTCCTCCTCCTCCTCCTCCGAATCCTCCTCCTAATCCTCCTCCTCCTCCTCTCCTCCTCCTCCTCCTCCTCCTCCTCCGCCTCCTCCTCCTTCTACTCCTCCTCCTCCGCCTCTTCCTCCCCCTCCTCCTCCTCCTTCTCCTCCTCCTCCTCCACCTCCTTCTCCTCCTCCTCCTCCTCCTCCTCCTCCTCCTTGGTCAGGCGACTGCGCCATGGTTTTGTGCTGCACCGCGCTCAGGTACACCTCAGCAGCACACACTGCGGCATTTCGGCGTCGCCCGCCTGAGCCAACACGGCTGCAGGGGGCCACCCTGGCTGCGACCCATCGGCGGCGATTGCAGCAGCTGGGTGCCGCCGCCACGACGCGGCGCCGCGTCACTCGCTGCTGCTGTCGTAGGCGCCGAGGCCGCCGATCGGGGCGGGCTCCCCGGCCCCTGGCGGCTCCGCGGCCGCCGCCTCGACAGCTGCGGGCGCGTCGGCCGCGGCCGCTCCAGGGCCCACGCCGGCGGGATCCACCGGACCTGCCGCACCGCTCTCCGAGCGCGGGCGCCTCTTCACGGCCAGGAAGGTCGGGAGGCCCTTCCGCCTCTCGTCCGGCTGCGCCGAGCCCGCGGCGCCCGTCGCCGCGGCCCGTGCTGCTGCCTGCGCGGGCGCCGTCCGCGGCGAGGCCTCGGACATCGCCGCAGCGAACTCGTCGGCGTCCTCTCGCCGCCTTTTGCGCTCCTCCAGCCGCGCCCTGGCCGCCTCGACCGGGTCGGCTGCCTCCTGGCCTCTCCGCAGGGGGCAGTTGCGGTTGACGCGCACGAGGCCAGGATGTCAACAGGCCTGTGGCCCGGAGGAACGATCCCCCCAAGGCGGGCCAAAGAGGGTTTCAAGAGGCCCCCCAGGGACGGCCCAAGAGCGCCGCAAAACGCCCAAGACGGCCCCTAAGAGGCCTCCAGGCCGGGCCAATAGGGCCCCCCCGAGGGCCCCGAGGCAAGAATCATTGATCGTCAGTGGGTGCCTGAAAGGTCGTGGCCCAGGATCCCAGGAGTCAGCGCCCCCCCCCCTCCCACCCTGCGGCCCGAAAATACGTCCGAGCCCACCGCCTCCCGAGGTCCTGGGAGATCGCCTTCCCAAGTGGTGGGTGCCCAGCGCTCGGTAACGAACGTTCTGTTGGGCATGTCCTCCTACAGGCGGATTTTGGAAGAAACATATTCTGCATATACGGAAATATTTGAAAATAGTCCCAAGAGCACGAAGAATTGTCACCGTTGTATTTTTCTCATGATTCTCCACTCTTATTCAATATATTATGTTCTTCCTGTAGAGAGACATGCCCGACTTGAAAACAGCGTGGCGGTCCCCCCCCCGACGGGGGTCTCAACCTCGACTTGGCGGCGCACCGCGTCATGCTCCAGAGCGCCTTCGGTGGCGCGCGGTGGCTGTCCCCGCGACGCGACGGGAGCACATCCGGGGCTGTCGGCAGGGATGGGTGCCCCTGCGGCACCTATACGGTAGGACCTAACACAGAAGAACATCCTTCAAGAACATGAGACCCTTTGCCGGCCAGAACACACGGAGCATCCTAGGGAACCCTCCCCAGGATACACAAGAACATTCAGCGAGCGCGGAGAAGCCCAGGGTGCCCCTCCCAGACCGACCTCGATCGTATGCCTCGGTCCGACTCTACACGACCTCGGAACATGCCTGGATCCTGGCCTCGGAATGTCGGGAGCGGCCAAGAGGGGGGGGTCCAAGAGGGGGGGGGGTGCAAATCATGGCCGGCGGCACGTGCGCGGCCCAGCGGGGGGCCAGGGACGTAACGGAGTAAGAAGAGGCGTCATGAAATCTGAGGAAAAACCATGGCCCCCGCCATGCGAACCCCCCCCCCCCCCCCCTGGTCATCACCCCCCTCTTTGCCGCCCCCGAGACTGTGGCCGACCTGCTGGCACGTGAAGCACACCTGGACGCCGTCCACGGCCTCGACCATGCCGGTGCGGCCTCCGGACTCCTGCCCGCTGCGGCCCAGGCCCGGGTGCAGGGCGGAGCTCGGCGGCGGGGCCGCATCCAGGCCCCGGACGGCCGCGGTGTTGGTCTTCATCGCCGCGGGGAGGGGCCGCGCGGCGCCATGCCGCCCGCGCGCGGGGCCGCGCAGGGGCGCCGGGCGCCGGCAGGGCGCCGTGCGCGCGGCCTGCACGCCCTCGCGCGATGCCCGAGGCTCGCGCGCGCGAGGCTGGAGGGGCACGGAGAGGAAGCCGGGACGGGGACGGATTCGGGTGAGGATGCATCGAGCATCTCTGAGATCCAGCGGCTCTGGAGCCATGTCTCGGGCGCCGCGACCTTCTCGGAGCGTTCTGCAACGCTCTGAGAGCGAAGAAGAACGCTCCGAAACGGATTTACCCTTGTCCTGACCCCGCCCGAGGTATACGGAGGATTTCGAGCGACGGCGACAGGCGTCGCGTGCAGGCCGGCAGGGGAAGGGAAGTGAAGGGCCTTACGTCGGCGGTGAGCCCAGGTGAGAAGCGGCGGGCCTTCTGACAAGGCTCGGAAGTTCTCTGGCCTTCTGAGAAGTTTCCTGAGCCTCCCCCGAAGACAGCGAAAAATTCTGAGAAGGCCGGAGGGCTTCTGATAAGGTCCGCCACCTTCTCGGCAGGCCTCCTCCCTCTCACTTCCCCCCCTCGCTCGGCGCCGATGCTGTCCCCTCCCGCTCCTCTTTGGAGTCCCGAAACGGTGCGGTGACAGACCGTGCGGTGACCTCGGAATCCCAAGAGACCTCACCGCACGGTCCGTCCTCGGAGACGTCCTCGGAGAACGACCCGAGTCCCAAAACCGTCCGGTCACCCCGAATCCCCACCGACTCACCGCACGGTGTGGTCACCGCACCGTTTGGGGGCCCAGAGTTGTCTCGAGCAGAGTTCCAGTCCTCAAATCTCGATATGATTCTCTTAAAATTTGGACTCCCGTCGAAGAAAGGCCGGTCAAGAAGAAGACGAGGAAGAGAGAGGTAAAACAAAAAAAAACGTCAAGGTAAACCAGTTCCGTTCACCTCCCGCCCCTCCGAACGGTTCTCTCAACAGGGCCCGGAGATACCCGCCGCTGCGCTGCGAGCCGCCGCCTCCCCAGGGCCAGAACAGGTCTGCCGCCGTGCCGGGCAGGAGGCACCGAGCGGAGTGGCAGCATGTCCCCGAGTGCCCGCTCTGTTTCGAGCAGGTCGGGAGCGGCCAAGGAGGGGGGGGGTCCAAGAGGGGAGGGGTGCAAATCATGGCCGGCGGCACGTGCGCGGCCCAGCGGGGGGCCAGGGACGTAACGGAGTAAGAAGAGGCGCCATGAAATCTGGGGAAAAAACATGGCCCGCGCCATGATATCCACCCCCCCCTAGTCATCACCCCCCTCTTTGCCGCCCCCGAGTAGTGGGACTGCCGAATTGATATGTCCCAGAACTGTTTGTCGTCGAATCTACAAAACAGGCTTTAATGTTAGTACATTCACGAAAATGCCAACAACCCTTTCGGCAAAGGTGGCCTAACGATATCTTCCTTTCCTCTTCCAAAAACTCTCTTCAATTCGGGATGTTCACCTCCCCCCCTTTCCTGAGGGTTTTTAGGGGGCGCCCTAGACGGCCCAATATGGCCCCTCCAAGAGCGCACAAGATACCCGACGATTGTTCAAGATAGCAACCGACATAACTCCAAGAGGCCCGACGAGGGGTACAAGACGGTTCCAAGTGCACTCGGAGCCCCCCTCAGCACCCCCCCAAGAGGCCAAAATCTCTCCAAAACCTGAAGAAACTCAATGATGTGTGCCTTCTCGCCTTCCTTTCCGATGAGGTTTTGTGGTCCCAGAACGGCCCCAAGATGGCCCAAGAGAGGCCCCAGAAGGGCCCAAGAGGCCTCCCAGGCAGCCCCAAGGGCGCTCAATAGCGGCCCAAGAGCGCCCCAGAAGGCCCCAAGACGCGATGTTGATGGTCCCAGAGAGGCATGGTAAACCGAGCACCCCCCCTTTTGATCGATGGCCTCCACGATGGCCCCAAGAGGTCCTCCAGGAAGAGGGCTCCAAGAGGGCCCCAAAAGGGTCCCAAGACCTTCCAAAAGAGGACCATGAAGACCCCTAGATCCCCTAGAAGAGTCCCAAGAGGACTCCAAGATGCGATTTGACGGTTCTGTCCTCGTCCTCGTTGTCCTCCCCATCATCCTCGTCCTCGTCCTCGGCCTTGCCCTCGTTGTCGTGGTCGTTGTCGTCGTCGTCCTCCTCCTCCTCCTCTTCCTCCTCATCCTCCTCATCCTACTCCTTCCCTCGCCATTACGCGGGCCCCGGGATTGGCCCGAACAGACCTTCCAACGCCACCCCGTTTCTCCCAGAGATTTCTCAGCTCACTCTAATTGCCCGCTTTGTTTCGCTACACGTGTCTCTTCGTCCCTTTCCCCGTCAACTCTCCTGGGCAAGGTTTTTGGATGGGCTAGTGGGGATACGCGAAGCGGGACGAATTATCCGTAAGGGCTTCGCCCCCTGCCGCCGGCCCCCTCTCTCGGAGAATGGGCCATGGAAGAGCTAAGTCATGAGGCTTTGGCGCTGTCGTGCAGCAGTAGCGGAACTTCATGCGAGGCCGATTCGCAATCGGCAAAACCAACTGATCACAAGAGGGGTTACCACACAGGGCGATTGGTAAGACGTGTATGGTTTACGAGCTTGGTTACCACACCTTGGGATTAAAGGGCCGAGGGAGTACTCGCAGTTTGGGTTACCACGCCTTGCGATGGATGTGCGTGAGGGGTGGCACCGAATTTCAGAAATGTGGCAAATCCCCTGTGTTTTTGGACCCTGACCCCGCGGATCTGCGTGAGGGGTGGCACCGAATTTCAGAAATGTGGCAAATCCCCTGTGTTTTTGGACCCTGACCCCGCGGATCTGCGTGAGGGGTGGCACCGAATTTCAGAAATGTGGCAAATCCCCTGTGTTTTTGGACCCTGACCCCGCGGATCTGCGTGAGGGGTGGCACCGAATTTCAGAAATGTGGCAAATCCCACGGATCTGCGTGAGGGGTGGCACCGAATTTCAGAAATGTAGCAAATCCCCTGTGTTTTTGGACCCTGACCCCGCGGATCTGCGTGAGGGGTGTCGGCTTCGAGCCCCCCCAGCAATTCAGACAACGCGCCCAGGAGGTGCTAAAAGTCCCGTTTGGGCCTCCCCCCCCCTCGCGCGGTCAATCAACTAGTTACAGTAACCAGCAAGAAGCAGAACTGTAACACTGGAAACTACAACCAACCTACGACTGGTACAGGAAACTGCGAACCTCGCGCCTACAGCCTGGTGGCCCCACAAGGGGGCCAGCGGATACGCATTTCTCGCAGATTCGACACACAAAATATTGGGGTAAATAATTCATGTTGTCGATCTCCTACTCGTATCTTGGGGTCTTGGGGCTTGGAAATCCCACCAGCCCTCGGGGGGGTCGGTGCTTGAGGGACCGTGTTCTTCCTATCCCTGTCTTCCCATTTGGGAGCGGGGGCCACCACTGCTCTTCATTAATTTCAAACGTAAGCATCTCCTCCCACTCCCGACTTGCCACCGACCAGAAACCAATGGGGCATTCGATCCTGGTCAAAAAAAACAACACAAAAGGCGCGTGGTGGCGAAATCTGAACCACGTGATGGCACCCGGCCGCCGACCAGAAACCATGAAGGCCCCCCCAAACCGTCCGTGACAGAACCGCGCAGACAGGACGTACAAAGCGCGGGCACAGAGCGATCGCGGGCCATCAGTTTTTAACCAAGACGGCGGGGGGGAACAGATCGGTTCGTCGTGCGCTCGCCCATCATCATGATTTCAAGTCACTGTAAATTGATTGTGGGTGGACACATCATACACCATGATGATTAGTTCGTCGTCACTTTGTACTGGCTTTGGCCAGGGATGGTG